CCTCAAGGTGAAGTGACCGCACCCCCAGGGTCACAACATGGCAGGGGTCAGAGGGCTCATCCAAACATGTCCCACACAGCTCACCCTGGAAAGCCTTTGTGCAGCCCCCAAATCCCGTCGAGTGGCACGGCGAGATGGGCCTCACCTGGCAGCTGTTGTGTGGACAGCTCTCAGGACCAAGCCGAGGTGGGGCTGCGACTTGGTAGCTGGGGTGGGGGAAGGGTGGATTACAGTGGGAAGAAGGAAGGGGTGAGGAGGGCCAGGATGAGGGTGGTAGTGATGTAAATGGGGAGCCATTGGATGCAAGAAAAAGGAAGGGAGGATTGACTCAGGGTGTATCTGGAAGGATGGTAGTACCCTCAACAAAAAGGGACAAGTTTGGGGAGGGGAGCCAGTGAGTTTTGTTTTGAATGTGCCTAGCTTGAGATGTGAGGGGAACGGCATGGAGATAGGCTATGAGTGATGTGAGACTGAGGAGGAATCGTGTGCACCCCTGTCCCTCCCCTTGGATTAAGGATGAATCAGAAGCCCAGCTATTGGGATGCTCACCACAAAGAGGGCGAGGCTTGTGCCTTTTCCTGACATGTAGTCTAGCCGGGGACTGACCTATAGCTCCCCCTGCTGGCTTTCTTCTCCTTTGCCCTCTTCCCCATGAACATCCCAGCAGAGATGCAGCCTTAAGATGGACACTGCCTTCCTGAGGATGAAGGTGGTGCAAATTGCATACCCACTTTGCAGAGGGAGAAACTGGCTCTGTGGCGTGAAGACATGGAGGCCTGAAAAGTGGGTGGCCACCCTCTTCTCCCTCCCCTCATTATGCTTGTCCTGCATGGGCTACCACCCCTCTGTGAGGCCTCTCCCCAGGGAGTAGACAGGGAGGACTGTCATCTCTAGGACCACAGGAGAGCTCCTCCTCACTGTCCCTCCCCAGGCTAGGATCTGGGATTCCCACGGAGGCCCTCCAATTTCCCTTTCACTAGACTAAGCTGTCTCTACAAGTCTGTTTGAGGAGCACAGCCTTGTAAGGAGTGATTGTCTGGAGGGAAGCAGAAGGTCCCCTTAGGCAAGCTTAGACGTGAGAAAACAGACTCGCTGAGACCGAATGGTGGTGGGAGGGCAATACAGGAATGGAGCCTGCAGCCCGGCAGCACAGCCGACCGGGTCACAGCTGTCCAGAGCAAATGGAAGCGGATCCCCGTGGGCCACACACCAGCTTAGAAAACTGTACACTTTCTGCTTGGGTTCTTCTGACTCTTCTTTCTCATGACAGCTCTGAGGGCTCCCCTAAGTCTCCAGGCCACAAGTCCTCAGTTCCTTCCACTGATCATCAGTGTAATTCCCCAGTCTCCTCACCACACGCCCTCCTGTTTGTCAATGGCTTAAGTAAAAATACCCAGAACTGGGCCCATTCCAGAGTGGGGCTATACTGAGTCAGTGCCAAAGCTGAGAGGCTCAGAAATACCAAGTGTTCAAGCTCCAGATGGGAGCTAATGAGCCCAAAGGCCAGGTGAACACTAGGCCTCTCATTGCAGCCTCCTGGTAAGCCAGCTTTTTAACTACCATTTCACTGCTAACTCACTGGCCTGCATGTCCAGTAGACTCCCCAGTTGTTCAGTTATGTCCAACTCTTTGTGACCTCCTGGACCATGGGGTTTTATTGGCAAGGATCCTGGAGTGCTTTGCCATTTCCTTTTCCGATGGATTAAGGCAAAGAGCTACAAGGCACGTTGGGGCCAGAGAAGGAAGCTGAGACCTAACCAAAGTAACAGGATTTCAGCCAAGGTCATCTGACTCCAAAAGGAATGTTCATGTAACTGGACAATAAAAACTGGGCCTTTCTTTCCTATTGGAATTGGGACAGGTCACTAGGTCTCTACCCCCATCTGAAAATGAGAGGTTCGTGGGCTAATACGGTTCAGATCTGAAAGGGGCCTTAAAAGTCCCAGAGTTTAACACCTCTCATTTTGTAGCTGAGGAAACGGGCCCAGAGATGGAGGAGCTCTTGCCTGAGAAACAGGCAACACTGCTGAACCTCCCTAGGAGCTCTATCCTGGGTCTGCTCTCAAGTGATCTCAATAGGGCCCTCATTGCTACTCGGTAATAACAATGTTCCCTCATGTCCTAGAATTCCACTCAACTGTCCACTCCCTCCTCCTTTCTGTCCTTCCTCCCTCCTCCTCTCTGTGCTCTCCATTATCCACTTCAAAACTGCCCCGTTCTCTCCTCTGCTTCAGGCCCTGGGAAAGAGGTGGTCTGTCTTCCTGCCAAAGCCAAGCCTTGATGCCATCTTCTGTCTGTTGTGTTTGTTTGCCTCTCCAGTCCCCTTATCTGTGGGCTTCTTCCCCGGCTGGCTACGTTCTCAGGTCTCCTCCATTCTTCACTTGACCCTATCATCCCTCCTTTATCTCTCCTCTATTTCACAGCAGAACTTTTAGGAAAAGCCTTGTACACTCTCCACAACCCCACCTTTCACACTTCTTAACTCCTAGCAATCTGGCTTCTGGCCCCATCATTGGTCTGAAGCCTCTCCAAGTTCAGCTTGATTTCATAATTTCTAAATCTGGTGGCCTTTTCTCAGTCTTACATCTTGCTTGTCTCTCTATTTCTAGTAGCTAGCACAATGTTCAATGAATTCTTAATCTTTCCTCAAATTTTGACACAACCACCTCCTGTTCCTGGATGCTCTCCTTCCTTTGCTTTCATGATACCTCTCCACATTCTCCTCTAGGTGTGACCAGTCCTTGGTCTGCATTGCTAAATCATCATCCACGTCCCTGTACCCTAATCATAGCTAGTATTTATATAGTGCTTATGATGTGCCAGGCACTGGGGTATCTTGGACTCTTTCTAGTGACACCATCATATCTCGTGGGGTAAATCTTTCACGTGGGATGCCCACTCCTTGACAGAGTGGGAGGGGAAGTCTATGGGTGTCGTCTTTTTTTTTTTCATGTATTGATTGGTTTGTTGGATTTTCTTCCGTAACTCTTTAAAAGATTCTGTTATTAGGAATTAGCAAGGGGGAAATTTAGGCAATGTTAAAAAAAAAAAACTTAAAATCAGTTGTACAGTTTTTTTAAACCCTCCATCCCCTATGCAGATGATTCCCAAAGCTATAATATTGAGACCTGATCTCTCTCTCCAGCTGCCTCCTGAACACTTCAGCTTGTCTCTTAGACATCGGGAATTCTTGATGACCAAAACAAGCCCACTCAGCTTCCCAGCCTTGACTTCCCTCCCCCTCCCACATCCCCTTACCAGCCTTGTCAGTCCCACCTCCGCAGCATTTCGCATCCCGTCTACTCACGGGGCTACTGACCTAGATCAGGCCTTCATCACTTGGGATAAAGGGATCTGTGCCAGGGCAATCACCTTGGTTTCCCTGCTTCTGCACAACTGCCAAAACGTCTCTCTAAAGCACGGGTCTGACCACATCTCAAGAGTTCAGTGGTTTCCCTATTGCCTCTAGGATTTTAAAATGCGAATTCCTCAGCTTGGCAGAGCTTGGCTCCAGCTTTTCTGCCCACACTTAATTCACATTCCACTTAACACCCAGTCTGCTCCATTCAGAAGGGGCTCCTAGCGCTTCTCCGAAGTCACCGTTTCATTCCCCACCCCTTTATCCTTGTCTGCCTGGCCTGAATAATTAATAATAATTATAATTTACATAGTGCCCCACGGGTCGCAGAAGTGCTTTACAAGTAGCTCATTCGATGCTCACGACAGCCCTGGGAAGTAGGTGCTACTGTTATGCCCATTTTACAGATGAGAAAACCGGGATTTGCTCAGGGTGGTAAATTTCTGAGATTAATTTGAACTCCTGACTGCAGGACTGCGCCGCCTAGCGGCATCAATTGGTAGCATCCTTAAAGGCTCGTTTTATTAAGTCCGCCCTTCAGTTGAGTGCAAGTTCCTTGCGGACAGAGAGGCTGGCTCCCTTTCGCCCCAGTCGGTTCCACTGAGGTCACTGCCTTGGGGCGGGCACTGCGCGGAACCAAGGGCCGGCAGCGCAGACGGAGGCAGGGACAGTTTGAGCGTCGCACCCGGGAGCGCCGGAAGCGGGCTCTGAGAGCCCGGATAGCGACCGAGAGGACTCAGGATGGAGACGGAAGCAGTTCAGGGTCCCCTAGCAGGTGAGAACCGGACCGGGTGGTGGAGGGGGTAGGGTACGAAGCGCGGCTGCACCACCAGAAACGGCATCTCCCCTGCCCCCGGAGCCTCTCCCCCTCTATCCGTAGGCGCTTATTGAAAAGCCACGCGAGACAAAAGCTGCGCTCCGGGATCTTCCCTATCCCCGCCTTCCTTGGCGCTTTGTTCGAGCCCGGTCCCCCCTGCGCTGGTGGCGCTTGCGCACATGGACAAGCCGGGGTCCGCGCTGGCGCCTGCGCACACGGGCACACCTGCCCCGCGTTGGTGGCGCCTGCGCAGATGAGTCCCCCTCCGTTGCTGTACCTGGCAGGTTCCTGCCCCGGGTTTTTTGTGCCCTCACGAAGGGCGGGGCAGTGGAGAGAGGGAATGGGTTTGCGATAAGAAGGAGCTGGATTCGAATCCCAGCTTTCCCTCAGAGCTCTTGGTTTTGTACAAGTTGGTTCGCGTCTTAGCCGCAGCCCCCCTCCCCCGCCTTAGTCTGTGAAATGAGGCCCCTTTGCCCCCCAAGTCTAGAGAGCGTGAACGCGCGGAGGGCAGGCCGGGGGAGAGGTGCCTAGGTAGGGGGCGGTACCGGGGGGGGCGGCCCCCAGGGGTGGGTACAGGGGGAGGAGAGGGAGGCGGTGCCCAGGTGGGGGATGCCGGGGGCGGTGCCCAGGTGAGGGCAGCCCCGCCCAGTGGGCGCGCTCACTCCCATTCCCAGCAGCAGCCGCAGCAGCCCCCGAGCTCGAGTTCGGGGCCGGTCTGGGGGGGGGGCTCCGTGCACTGGGGGGAGCCGAGCGGGGCACAGCCCCCTGAGGCCCCCCAGAGCCAGGGCCCTGCCCAGGCCGAGGAGGAGGAGGAGGAGGAGGAAGGGGAGGGCCAGGAGGACCCCGGCGTCCGGGCCATGCTCCGCGCCGTGGCCGGCAGCCGCATCCCCGTGCAGAGCCAGCAGAAGGACGAGCCCGACTTCACGGAGCGGGAGAAGGTGGCCATCCTGGGCCGCCTCTACCGGGACAAACCCCTGGTCTTCCTGGAGCGGTTCCGGAGCATCCTCCGGGAGGAGCACCTGGCCTGCTTCCAGCACCTGCGCGGGGACTACCGGGCCGATTTCTACTGCGCCGAGGTGCTGCGGGGGAGCGCCGGCAGGGACCGGGCCTCCCGCACCCGGCTGAGGAACAGGCGATACGCAGCCCTGCAGGAGCTCATCCGGGGTACGGAGAGCCAGGAGCAGGGCCGGAGCTGCTGGCAGACAGGGGTGGGGACGGGGTCAGAGATTGGAATGGGGATGGGGCCATGGAACCAAGGCCAGTGCCATGGCTGAAGACGGATGGGGACAGGGACAGAGATTGGAATGGGGATGGGGCCGGGGACATGCACACAGACAGGCCTAGGCCCCTGCCCACAAAACAGACGCCCATCCCGATGTTCTAAGAGATTCACATACTGTGTCTCCCTCCTCTCCCCAGCTGGAAGACTGGGGGTGTTGCCGAGAAGGAGACAGGGAATAGTGGGGGCCCTCGAGGGGAAGGACTGTGGGGAGAGTGAGGGGGGACGGCCCATGGACCTGGCCTGTGTCCTGCTGTGCCTCAGGTGGGGAGTACTTCAGCGATGAGCAGATGCGAGCCCGGGAGCCCCTGCTATATGAGCAGTACATTGGACAGTACCTGAGTGAGGAGGAGCTGGCTGCCCGCTCCCCAAAGACCCTGGCCCCCGATGGCTGCCCTTTGGCGGACCTGCTCCTCCAGTCCTATCAGGAGGGGGTGCTGCAGCGAAGGCTGCTGCAGCAGCAGGAAGAGGAAGAGGCCTGCCTGGAGGAGGACGAAGATGAGGAGGAGGAAGATGAGGAGGAGGAGGAAAGTGAGAGAGGGGGCCTGGGGGGCTGGGGGAGGCTCCACAGGGCGGCCCCACCCACCACCTGAATGGTCTGTCCAACAGATTCCAGGCCCGGACAGGAGGAGGAGGCCTGGGTCCCTGACTCAGAAGAGAAGGTCATCCTGAGGGAGGAATTCACCAGCAGGATGCACCAGCGCTTCTTGGATGGCAAAGATGGCGACTTTGATTACAGGTGGGTCTGTCATGCCCGCCGCCCTCCCCAGGGGACTGAAGCTCTGTATGAGTAGGTCTCCATCTTTATAACACTTTAGGGCTTGGAGAGGTCGGGAACACAAGTAGTAGAGCCCCCATTTTGCTGATTGAAATGTCCCCCACTCCTTTTGGCTGAGGTTGGGTTGAGAGGGACCAGCCTGCTGACCCCCTTTAACTCCCCCCATCTCCCCACTGCAGTAAGGTGGATGACAATCCGGAGTTTGACAACTTGGACATTGTGGCTCGGGATGAGGAAGAACGCTATTTTGATGAAGAGGAACCCGGGGAGGCGCGGAGCACAGAGCCGGAAGAGGACTGGGACCGGGGCCCCCACTTGTCTCCCACCCAGGAGGGGGCCCGGTGCGCTGGCCGTCGGCCCCCAACAGGGGGCGCCCTCTGCTAGGCACAGCCTTCCCCCACCTGTAACATGACCGATGAGGAACCGAGGCCTTTGGTGCTTCTGTGGGCCCCCAGGGCAGCACCCTGGAACCCCTCACTGTCTGCTCTCCCCCATGAGCTCCCTCCTCCTTTCAGGCCCCTGAGCCCCATCTTTGTCAAGCTCACCCTGTCAGGCACTCAGAACAGAACTGGCCTCCTGAGGAATGGAGTTTGCTAAAAGAGGCCAGCCCCCAGCTCCCCTCTAGTCCCAACCACAGCCACAACTTTCCCTTCCTTCACTTCCTCCTGCCCTGTTTACGCTCCCCAAATACTTGCAGCCTGTTATCATGGGCCCTGAGTCATCCTTTGCCTTCCCCCTCCCCTCCCCCTTCAAGTCCAGCCCCACGGCCTGCCTGGGTGGGGGGCTCAGATGGCAGGCTAGCTGTGCCTAATGGGACCCAGATGACCCCAGTGACTCAGCCCGTTGTGTGGGAACCCAGGCGTCCTGCCTTCCCAGGCCCCTGGCTCCCCCTCCCCCAAAGGAAAAGAAGCTTTAGATTCCCCCTCCCTCCTCCCCCAAACCCTTGGGGGAAGAGGCATTGGAACTCCTAAGACATCTGAAGCCATGGGAAGGAGACCACCTAGCTGTCTCCCCCCTCCCTTTCTCCCTTTCCCAGTGGGGCTTTCCTGCTGAGTCACAGGGGGAAGTGGGGTGAGTAAGGACTGGGGAGACATGCCCCACCCCTATCCTTCTGCCTGCTGGGGGGAAGGGGGCAGGGGCAAAGTGATGGGATTCCCAGGAAGGTAGGAACCTGCAGGAGTGGCCACACACAGGCTAAGATGAAATCCCAATAGCTTCCGTCACAAGGAGACACACGACGACGACACACGAAGTGCTCATCCTTAGGGACCAGAGAGGGAAACTGAGGCCCCAGAGGACAAAATTCAGAAAACCCAAGCCTCTCAGCTGCTAGCCCAAGGCTCGGACTACCAGCAGAGAATGCCAATGAAGAAATGCAGGGAACTGAGAGGGAGAGTGCTGTTCCCCAGACCCTGTCCGTCAATCCACCCTACCCCTGACTCCATGTGTGGCTAGAACAGGGCTAGAGCCTGGGGGTTGGGGGGAGGGGGCCAAGGGATGGTCCTCCCTGCATCTCTCCTGTGGCTAGCCCTGGTTCTGAGGCTATTCAGACCAGTCTTCCCGTCTCCATCTGTTTCTCCCTGTTATCTGCTGCTTTTTCCATTGTCTCTTGCTGTCTCCCCCCACCCCAGCTGGTTTCTCTCCTGGAACAGGCTGGGTGATTCCAGGTCAGGGGATGGCTGGTGTCCCCACAGGGGACTGGGGGGTCGGTGGGTCGGTCAGTCTGTCTGTGTCTCTCCCTGTGGGGGTTAAGGGGAGTGAGTCTGCGTCTGCGTCCTGGGCCAGGCCCTGTCTCGCCCACGGCTCTAGAGTCAGAGAAAATATTTGTGTTCTGGGCTGCCCCCTGCCGCCCCCTCAGGGACCCAGCCGTCCCAACCCTGGGGCTCTGTGTCTCCTCTCCCAAACCAGGGAGAAAGGAGTTGGGGAGAGGATGAGTATCTTGGGCTGGCTAGTGCCTCCCCAGACCCCCCTCCCCAGGGTCCCCTCCCCAGGGTATGTACCATGTAAACACACCAGGCCTGGGGATATTTATACAGTGGGCTGGGCTCTATGCCAACGCCCACCGCAGCCCCTGCCCGCGGGCGCCCGCCTGCCACCGTGGCAGGCAGAGAGGCCCCAGGGAAGGGGGAAGGAGGGGTGGGCACACAAATGCACACCCCAAGCCACAGACAACACAAAACACACCAGCAGGAGGGAAAACACCCAAACTCCAAGACACAAATACACCCACTCAGATGTGAATTTGCAGAAACTCAGTTGAGACGCCCTGATCCCCCTAAAAACTCACACATGCTCCTAGGGAAGGAGACTGGGGTGGGGGCAGTGACAAGCCCTTGTTTAAGACCAGAAGGAGAGACAGGAAAGGTCCCTACCGCCCTCAGTTTCCTGCCCCTGTGGGGGCTGGACAGGAAGCCACGCCGGAACCCAGGCATGCCCCCCTTCACTTCCCTCCGGCCCCAGCCTCAGGGGAGGGACTTGGGCCTTTGGGGGAGCAACCACCTTTGTAGCCCTCCTCTCCCCCATCCCCCATACACCCAGCCTCGAGCAACTTTAGGCATGGGGCAGACGTGCCCTGACTTAGCCTGACCACCCAGCCAGGGGCCCCTGGCAGGCACGAGTCAGGCATGGGGCAGGGCCCCGGGTGCGAAATGGGGAAGGAGGAGGGGCTCTGGAGATGCCAGGGTGGCACACAAAGGGGCGGGGCTTCCCCCCACCCACCACCTCTCCAGAAAGGGGAAGGTGCTTAGCTACACAGTTTCTCGGCTGTACTAGGCAGGGCGGGCACCCCTGAGGCCCAGCCCCCTCCTCTTGCCAGCTCACTGGGCATCCCTGGCCCGAGAGCTCAAGCCTGGGGGCAGAGGGAGCGGCTAGGAGGAAGACAGAGGCGTTCCACTAGTATGTGTGTGTGTGTGTGTGTACACAAATGAGACACATCTGAACGTCCATGTTCATTGAATCTGTCCAGCTCTCATTCTGTGGGTATCTCTGACCAGAGTTTGATGTCCATTCTGTAGTCTATGCTGGGGGCGGGGTGTTGGGGAACAGAACAGTATCTATGTCAGAGCTGTGTGTCTAGGGTGGGTGGGGGGTCCTTCATATGTCTGAGTCTGTGCACCTTCCTGCCCAACCTCCACACTCAGCCCCTATCCCAACAAGTCCTGACACAGTTCCCCCACCACCAACACTGCTACCCACCCCCCCCATCAGAAGTAGCTGGGGGAAGGAGGAGGAGCAAACTCTCAGAATCTTGGTCCTGGGCCTTGGGAGACCCTACCTCCCCCAGCCTGGCCCCTGGCTCATGCCCTCTGCACCAGCCCTCAGCTGGGGGTGATCCCTCAGCCCCCACACTGGGAAGGAAGCTCTCTATAAGGAGTCCTGGCTGGGGGCTGGGCTTAGAGACATGGACAGAATATAGGCTTCAGGGAAAGATGGATGAGGGACAAAAGAGAAAGCTGAAGACTGATGAGGACAAAGAGGGGAGGGAGATAGGGCAAGAGAGGCGGGGTAAGGATGCAGAGACAACTAGGCAGAGGGAGACATAGCACAAGGAAGGCAGACAAGTGGAGACGTGCCCCCAGCTCCCCATCCCAAACAGCTCCCCCGTGCCCTCAGTAACACACAGATCCCAGTTTCTCTCTCCACCTTTAATCGGGCCCCAGGGGGTTGGGGTCCAGGTGGCCTTTAAATACCACACACACACCCCAGGCCAGGTCCCTCTCCCCCTCCCATAAGGGGCCAGCTTGGGGAGGAGTGGGGGGAGGGGGCCGGGCCTGCCGGGGGGTCCCCGGGGATCAGGGCAAGGGTCTCAGCTGCACTTGCAGGAGCGGACAATCATGTTGGACAGCTGCTCCACCTTGGGCTTCCGCCCTACATAGTAGACGATGGGCAAAGGCTCCAGGGCCTGGGGCACACAGCAGGGATTCACTGACGCACCAGGGTTGTGCTGGTTATAGAGGGCCAGAACCTGCAAGGAGGGAGATGACGAGACTCATGGACCACGGGGCCCAGGCAGCCTCCTCCACCTCCAGCCCTACCCCTTAGGCTAGGGCTCACCTTACTGTACTGGTTGTCTAGGCTCCAAATGTAGGGACAGGGCCCCAGGCAGAAGTTGGCATGATAGCCTTTGGGCTCATGGATCCACTTCCAGCCCAAGTCCTTCCGAAAATCTATGTAGAGCTGACGAACACAGCAGTTCTTCTCCGAGGAGCTAGAGGGAGGGGGAGAGTCCCGAGTGCTCAGAGGAAAGGGGAGCTGTGGTCAAGGAGTTACAGACGGTGGAAGGGTATATGGACAGCCAGGGGAGAGCGGTTGGGCAACACAGGGGTCAGGAAGGAGATGGGGCATCCAGCAGAGATGAGAGGAACTGGGGAGGAGTCAGAGGGTCAGGAGTTAGAAGATGGAAAGAGGAGAGGTGGGAGCAGGGAGCAGGTGGAGGGGAGGGTTACAAGGGTTAGGGGAGATGGGAGAAGCCAGAGGCAGGTTCACAGTAGACAGAGGTCAGTCATTCTCACCTGAAGCAGTAGTCAGTGTCCAGGGCCCTTCGGTGCCTGGGGCTATGAAGGTTCTGTGCCCGCTCCAGGGGGGTGGCCATCAGCAGCAGGAAAGGACGATTTTGGTTCTGAATAATTCCCATGTCCCCCCGGACATTGTTCAAACCTGATCCAGGGAGGAGGCACAGAGGTGAGACCAAAGCCACAGGAGTTGGGGGTGGGAGGTGGCTAGATTCTGACCCCAGAGATGCTCCACTCCCCCCAGATTCCCAGATGGGGCAATCACCACTCACCACTAATATCCATATGTAGCTGGATATCTTTCTGGTCACAAGAGCAATGGGCGCTGAGGCGGAAGGTCTCAGTCTTTTCTGGGAGCCCCAAGAAGAGAGAGAGGTGAGGCAGGGGGTGGGCAGGTACACAGGGAAGGTGAAGGGATAGGTCTAGGGTCCTAGGGGACACCACCTAGAGAAAGCATGGGTTCCTAACCTGAGGCAACCAAGTCCTCGCCAGGGTAAAAAGGATTATCAAGGGGGCAAAGGGAATATCTGTAACTACATTCTCCTACTGAAATGAATTCATTCCTATTTATTTCTATGGGTGCATGCATGATGATCTCTGGCCTGCATTTCCTTTCATGGATGGGAATGTTCACTGAAAGGGGAGGGCCCATGAAGCCCCCCTCTTCTTTCTCCCCAGAGCATCCACCTCCCTCTGCCTTTCCCAACCTCACCTTTGCTACTTAACCACTGGTATACCACACTGGTAACATCAAAGGACAGCCACTCCAGAGTCTGGCTGGGCCGGACCCGCTGGCTGGTCAGGTAGCGCCAGGAACCGTTGCCAAATTTCTTGGAGGAGGATGAAGGGAAGTGAGAGGGCAGCCCTGGAGGGGGCCTCCCCCACAGGCTTGGCCAGCCCCACAAGCCCCAGCAGCCTGGGCTCACCTGATAGAGTTCCACGTGCTGTTCCACTGTTGACTTGATCTTCAGCATCCGGAGCTCAGCTCGAGAGAGCAAAGCTGCATTGGGTACGGCTTCCTGGAGCTCTGAGGTGTTGAAGTGGAAGTAGACGCTGTGGGGGGTCTTCTCAGCATCTGGGGGGCAGACAGGGAGAGGGCAATCAGGGGAAGCCAGCCTGGGACAGCCTTTCTGGGTCAGGGCCCGCCTGCCTCAGCGGAGAGATGGAAGGGAAGCCTGAGAAAAGATGGTGGGAGGCTGGAGCCGAGGGGCCTATACACACTGGGAGCTTGAAAAGATGTCTTGGGATAGGAGGCCCCTTCCCTCCCTTCTGCTTCCTGATATGGTGTCCCCCCAGGCCCTCCAAACAGCTCTTTCTGTGGCTGAGCCAATTCAGAAACCACAGAGCCAGTCCCTGGGTGGCCTGAGCCCCAGAGAGACCAAGGGACCAGAATGTAGGAGGAGAGAGCCAGAGGACGAGGGGTCCAATAGGAACTTAGATTTCGACGTGGATGATGGGACATTAGAGATTCTGTAGTTCAACTCTCCTTTTACCATCGAGGAAACTGAGGAGCTCCAGAGGATAAGTGACTCGCCCAATGCAACCTGGGTAGCTAGAAAGTGGAAAGCTGGAAAGGATTATCCCGCCTCGCCGCCCGTAAGTGGAAGAATCTGGATTCGAACCCAAGTCTTCAGACTCCAAACTGTGGGCTCTTTCAGAGGAGGAGGCGGGAGAGCAGAGGTGGACAGAGAGGCCAGGATGCAGAGAACGGGACCGGGAGTGGGGAGAAAAAGCAAGCCAAGCCGAGCCCCTCGCTGCCCTGCAGCAAAAGTCCCCAGGCCCAAGAGAGAAAGTGAGAAACCTTCCCCAGAGCCAAGGGTCAAGGTCAGCCCCAGTGGGGACCGGCATCCGAGAGGGCCGGGCCAAAAGCGGGCGACCCAGGCTGGAACCTGTCTCAGCTCGCCCTCCTGCCCCCGAGGCTCCAAGCCGCTGATTCCCTGCCCCGGGGCCACTGGCAAGAGGGAGGGACAGGGGCTGGACTCCGGGGTTTCCCGGCCGGCAGAGGGACGCCCCGCCCACGGCGTGTGGCCGCCCTCGTGGGTCTGGCCGGGGCTCCCCCGTTTACCCGGGCGTGTTTGTCTCATGCTACCCGTAGGTGGCCCCCTCCCGAGCCTCGCGGCGCCCGCTTCCCCCAGAGGGCTCACCCGGATTCTGGGGCAGCATGAGGACCCGGGTGACCTCCTTGGCGTAGTAGTCGGTCTCGGCCTCGGGCCCCGGCTCGGCCACGCGGTCCCGGGTGCTGTTGTAGAGGGCGAGCACGGCGTCGGGCAGCGGGCCCGGAGGCACGTCGCTCTGGGCTGGCGGGCTGTCCAGCCGCAACTTGGACAGGATCTGCCCGCGGATGGCCTCGATGCGCCTCCGTTTCACCAGCTCCATGTCCAAGGTCTTGCAGGTGGACATGGCCGCAGCCGGGCGCGGCGGGGCCAGCAAGAGAGCCAGCAGCGGCACCAGGGCAGCCGCCGCCGCCGCCCGCAGCCCCGAGGGCGGCATGGAGGAAGAGGCACCAGCTGCGGCGGCGCTGGCCTCGGGGCCGGCGGCGGGGAAGGGAAAAGTTTCGAAGCCCCGGAGGGCTCGGGATCCCCGATGGGAAAAATCTAAGGCTCTTCGGGGAGGTCTGCTGGAAGGGGAGGGTGCCTGAGACCGGAGGGGAGATGTGACCACTGGGGGGGGCGGGGGCGGTGAGAACGTCTAAGGAGAGCGCGCTGGGGGGCCAGGAGTCGCCGACTGCCTCGAGGGTGAAAGGTCCGGGGGTCTACGCGGGTTCTCCTCGATTCTGGGAGGGGGGCGAGGCAGGCGGGGAAGGCTTCCTCGGGGGCTGCTGGGTGCGAGGGGCCAGGGGTCCCGAGGGGAGGCGGGAGCGGGCGGCTGGGTCCGGAGCGTCCAGGGCGCGGTGGCCCTGGCTCCCGGGGGCAGGCAGGGCGCTCTCCGGCTCGGCCGGTGAGAAAGTCTCAACTTCTGGGCAACAAGTCCCGTCCCTCCTCCTCCTCCTCCTCCCCCCTCCTCCCCTCCTCCCGGCGGCGGTGGCGGCGGCGGCGGCGGCGGCTCCTGCGGCTGCTCTGGAGACGGCGGCTCCTGGGCCCCCGGCTCCTCCTCGTCCTTCCTCCTTCCTCCCGCTGGGGCCGGCGACCCGGGCCCCGCTAGAGCCGGGGGGGTCCCGGCCGGCCCCAGGGGCCCCGCATGGGCCGGGGCGGGGCTGGGCTGCGAGGCGGTGGCGGTTGTGCGGGGCGAGACGGGGCGGGGGGCGCCCCCCGGGAACGCAGCTTCGGCTCGGGGGTGGCGGAGGGCAGGGGCAGGGGGCGGGCGGCGGCTCCGGCGGGGCAGCCGGGTCCGGGCTTCGGAGCTTTTTGAAGCGGCTGCGGCCCCACCCAGGAAGCGCGCGCGGGGGCCGAGGAGGAAAGGCGGGGGGAAGGAGGGGAAGGAGGGAGGGAGGGAAGCGCGGCTCCCCCCCCATCACCAGCAGCCCGGAGGCCGGGGGATGGCGCCCCGCCTCCGGGACCCCGGCGTCCTCACTTCCCCCACGCCGGCAATGGGGGGCGGGGTGGGAATAGCGGGCTGGGCTAGGGGTTCCCCCCCCCCCGCCCGGGCGTCTGCCCAGGCCCTGGCCGCAATGGGGAGGGGCCGCGAAGCGCCGGGAGAACTCACCCGGGGCTCTCCCAGCGCCAGGGGAGCGGGGCGTACGGACTCTTCCCCCCCTGGGGTGGGGGTGAGGAGTTCCCCGCCACGCGCTGTGGGTGCTGCCCCTTTTACTGGCCCCGGTCCAGCTCTCCCACTCCCCACCCCCCCCAACTCAGACCCCGGGACGGACTCAGCCTCCGATCCAGGGCCACTTATTGGAAGGGGTCAGGAGGAAGAGATGGTGGGGGAGGGGTGTAAATGACGGGGTGGGATGGCAGGCTTCGGGGGGGGGGATAGATGGATGGGGCAGGACAGACGAGGGATTGGAAGCCTTGGGGTCTCATCCCCTGCGCCACTAGACGGAGGATTCTCTGAGGACAGGGAGCAAGCCTAGAGTACAGAGCTCCACCGGGTGAGGCACTGCAGAAAAACTAGAGAAAACACGGGAGGAGGAGGAGAGAAAACGCGCAGAGATTATTGGGGGGAGGGGTCAGGTGAGAGGGGAGGAAGCCAGGAGACAAGGGGAGAGGAGCTCCAAAGACAGCCTGGCAACTGAGGGGAATGACCAAGGAGAGGGGGAAGAGGGAAGGAGCTGCAGGCACACGGGGAGAGGCCAGGAGGGGCCGGGAGGCCGGGAGGCCGGGAGGCCGAGAAGGAAGCTGGAGTCCAGGAAGTGGGCCTAAGGAAGATGGCGGGGGCCCAGGGCCCCTTGAGGCAGGCTCCTTTCCCTTTATGGACCTGGTGTCCCCATTTTCAAAGAGCATCCAGGGTCTCTAAGGCTCCTTTGAACTCAGTCACTCAACGGGGTGTCCCTGGGCTCAGTTTCCCCCAAGGGGTTGAACTCCAAGGTCTCACAGTAGGGGACAGACAGAGACGAGATGCTTGTGCTCTGTAGGAATCTTGTATATACCAATTCGTGTATTTCTTTCCATGAGGTCGCCCCCATTGGCATGGACGCCCCTGGAGAGCAGGGCCGTGCTTTTTCCTGATACCCCCCAAGGCCTCCTTAGGGCAGTGCCGGGCACATAATCAAAGCTCAGCACGAGTCTGATGACTGACTGCTGAGCGCAGGAGCCTGGGGACCAACACAAAAGAGGAAGGGAAAGGAGGACAGTTAGATGGGGAATTGGGGAGGGGGTAAGGAGCTGGGAGCTGGCCGAGGTACTCAGCACTCAACCCCATAGCGGGCAAAGTTTCTCAGGATCAGGGCCAGCTCCAGGTGCACGGTGCCCCCCCGCCGCCGTGTGGAGCCGGTATCGGTCGGCCCCACAGTACACCACGTCACTGTGTAGCAGCTGGGGCCCACCGCCCACGAAGGCCCTCGCCAGCTGCTCTCGCCAGTCACCCAAGGGGCGCCATGTCACACAGTCAAGGCTGTGGGCCCCAGGGCTGCTGGGGATGTGCGAGAAGCCGTAGCCAGACAACTGGCAGCGCCCGAAGATGTCCTGAGACCACACCTGCAGGTGCAGCCGAGGCCAGCCTGGGGAGAGGAGACAGGGCCTGCCTCAGCCTGGTGCTCCAGCCCTCCTTCCCAAGCCCTGGGCTCCTGGCTCCCTTCCACGCTTTTGCTCAGACCACTAGCCACCCCATGGGTCTCCCCTAGTCCCCAAGGGGACTCCCACCCTAAGCTGCTCCTGCCAACCAATGATGACCACACTGTGACCAGGACCCAGAAATGACAAGTCTCTGTCAGGCCTAATAAACAACACAGACTCTCTCTGGGTCTCTTCTGTCTTTCTCTTCAGCTCTCCCAGTCTTTGGGGGCCCAGGTGGGATTCGCCAGCCCCAGAGTCCAGCCCTGGGCTCCCTTGCTCCCTGAGCTGCACAGAGCCTCCTCTCCCCCGGCCAAAGGCGTTTCTCGGAGCTTGTCCCTTCCCTGCTCACTTACTCCCAAGCCTGGGGCCCCTGACCTTACCCTGTAGGCCTTTGGTGGCAAAATGCAGGTCGATTGGGTGAGACCAGTAGGCCATGTTGCCCAGCTGAGGGGTGTCCACTTGTGTCTGGCCCTCCCGAGCACCTGACAGCAGCTTCCATGCTCCCCCTGCCAATGAGGGAAGGAAAGGGGCTCTGAGGGGAAGGATGGACTAGGAGGAAGGGGGTCATGGGTTAAGGGGAGGTGCCACCCTGGCACTGCAAAGAGCCCACCAGTAACCTAAGTAGGCCTGGGCTTCTTCTACTGTAAAATGAGCTTCTTGGCTGAGATCTCTAGGTCCCTTCTGCCTCTACAATCCCAAGGTGAATCTCACCAAAAAGAAGGCCAGTGAAGGTCAGCAGCTTCCCTGTAGGACACAGACCTGTGTCAGATGTCCCATCTCCCCCCACCCAGGCTAAGGGCTCTCACACTCCCAGAGGAAAGGAGGAGAGGAGGGGGGTCTAGGCCTCTTTGGAGTTGAACAGGCTCCCAGCCACCCATTAGGTGGGCAGGGATTCTGCTGTGGAGACACAGCTTGGGGGTGTAGTCTGAAGAATCAGGAAGAGGACCTCAGGACTTCCCCCCCTTCATCCCATCCTCTCTCCAGCTGCATAGACAGGGAAGGTCAAGGAGAGTCAAGTTCCCTCCTGGGGGAAAGGGGAGGGTACAGAGGAATCCCCAGGGATCTGAGCAGATGAGGCTGGGTTGTCCCCACACACATACCTGTATGGACACCCCACTTGCAGAAGAGGCTGCTCTCAGAAAAACCTGTTGCCCCAATGATCTGCCCAATTACATGGACCTCAGCCATGGCTCCGCGGAGAGGAGAAGAGAAATGTCAGAAGACCCCAGGAAGGAAGCCCTTGGAGTTCAGCAGGGACCAAAGGGCTTCCTGACTTCAGACATGTCTCTGGGTCTTTGTTCCCTTCTCTGGGCCTGTTTTCTCATCTGTAAAATGTTCAGCTAAGTGGCTCAGTGGATAGAACACTGGACCCAGTGCTCTGGGTTCAAATCCAACCTCAGACCCTTACTAGCTGTGTGACCCTGGGCAAGTCACAACCTCTGTTTGCCTCAGTTTCCTCAGCTTTAAAAATAGGGATAATAATAGCACAGACCTTCCATGGTTGTTGTGAGGTTAAATTAGATAATTTACAGCGCTTTGCCAACCTTAAAACGATATATATGTATGCATGTATGCATATACGTATATACATATAAGTGCTAGCTATTATCTTCAGACTCGATAACTCCTCCCACCCCGTAGCCCCGCCCCTCATCGCCTCTAACCCCGCCCCCGAGGTCTAGTCCCGCCCCCACTTCCAAATAGACATGCGCAGTATCACTGGAGTGAAGCAAAATGCTCGCGGCTCCAGTCCCCGCGCAGGCGCCGTTTCTCTGGCAAGCACAGCTCTACAGGGACACGTCCCCGTGTCTCTCGGCGCCCGGCCCCCGCCTCCCCTGCCCCTAATTTACCCGAGAAACCTGAAGACTTCGGGACCGTCGGCAGGCTCGACGGCTTCCGGTGACTGCTCAGACCGTTGCTCTGGCAACAGAAGCTCGCTGTCTTCCCTCCTCGGCATTCGTGCACGCCCTCGCGTCGCTGATTGGTCGTCGGAGGGGAAATGGGGCGGGACCAGTAGGTATCTCCCGCCTTCCCCTCGCTCACGCCTTGCTCGCCGCTGATTGGGCCTCAGATAGAATAGGGTGGGGCGATAATGAAAGCCCTCACTTTCCCTTCTTGTGTGCCTGATTGGTCCTTACGAAAGGTGATGGAGCCGGACTAATGTCTTCTCCCTTCCAAGATCCCTTGCGCCCACCCCATTGTTGGTGCTGATTGGTCTGTAACTAAGGAGCTGGGGGGGGGGGCTATGTCTAACAAGCTCTCTTCCCCCCTCTTTCATGAAACGTTGCAGGGGGGGGGGGGAGGGGGGGAAGGCAGTAATGGTACCCTGGTGCCATATTGGGTGTGGCAGGTGGACGTCAGCGTGCGGCCATATTGAGTGTGTAACCCGACTTTATTCCATCTTTGTATTCCAAGTAAACAAGAAGAAAACCCAAGCCTGCCACTCTTAGTAAAACCACTTTCTGCTCACATAGCACCTGTCAGATCTACTGGAAACCGCCTTCTCAGTGTAGCCATCCCCCTGCCTCAGACCCAGAAATCCAATCCATTTCAGGCCGAATTTGTTAAGTACCTACTATGTGCCTCTTGTAATACTAAATGCTTGTTGGCTTGACTTGTTAGACACTGGGGCTGCAAGGTCAAAAATAAAACAATCCCTGAAACAATCCCATTCGGCTGGAGAATAAAATAACCAATCACTAAGTTGAAAAAAAAAATCAATCAGCATGCGTTTATTATTCAGTGTCTCCTGTGTTCCAGGCAGTGAGAAAGGCACCAGTGTTAAAAGGACAAAAATGAAACATGAAACCAGGATCATATATGTGTAATAGGTCGCTTGCCTTCAAGGACATTACATTCTGCTGAGGGATTACATGTTCAGACTGGTAATATGGGTGGATAGAGGGATAGATAATAGATAGATGATATGGATGGATAGATAAAGAAATATAGAGGGGTGAGATAGATAAATGTGGATGAATAAATAGAGATAGATCATAGATATAGATGTGGATGGATGGATGAATAGATTAGATAGATAT